TAGTTCACCCAAAATGAAAATGACTGTGTGTGAAAAGTCAAGTTTACAGAGTTTCAGTGTCAGTACTACACTAAACTAATATATGTTGAATTTAATGTATAATAATGCAATGGGGAAATATATTTGTGGGTCCTGATAATGCCAAATGTCTTATATTACCAGTAAAAGGTGGCCTACATTATTTTAAATGTATCTTCAGTGAAAGAGTGCAAGCATATTCATCTAAAATAATTCTGTATTTTCAGCTTTCGAATCATGAATATTTTTATTCTGGTGTCACCATTGTCTTGTGCATTGGGTAAACGGCACCAAGTCCAAGCCTATTCATTTTCGGCACCCAATGTAATACCAAATTTAGCATTTTAATCAACAGTTAGTTTTTTGTCAACCTTTTACCATATGTCTTTGAGTATCGCAATAATACCGTAAGTTCAGTATCGTGATATGCATCGAATCGTGACATGAGGGTATCGTTACACCCCTACTAGAGTGTCATCTGTTGTGATTAGGGCTGTCACTTTACGTTCAAAAATCGATTGCACAATCGATCGGACCAACCAACACAAGTGTCGAAAGCGAAAATAGGGAATCGATTTTAACAGCCTTTTTTTTTTTTAAACAAAAATGTGTTTTAGGTGGACAGATCAATACAGTACACAGAACATGTAGGATGTTGGAAAATAACAATGTCTTTTCTGTTAACCAAATGCTTTTTAATATTCGCTATTACTTCAATCCAAGTGAACGAGCCATTATTTGTTGCGTAGTGACGTGTGTGTTCAAGTAAGCCAGAAATGCGCAGATTCTGCACAATACGCTGTATTTAATATATCATGAGGACTCACGAGTTGCGTATTTGCGCTAAATCCGCATAGATTTGGCTTACACGAACTTCCCCTGCAAAGTGAGTAAACAGAAACACGCCAGATTGGCTCGTGATTTCACAGCGTTACCCGACAAAATTCATAAAGTGTTAATTTCAATCCCTGAATGTTGCACTCCTGTTTGTCATTGTGCACGAAACTTCACGCCAATAAATCATCAGAAATATTGCTGACTTGTGCGCGTCTCAAGCGCCCTCTTTACGCTCGTCCTAATGCCTGTTAGGTGTCCGTGGATTTGCCTATATTTGGTGTTGAAAATGGAAACGTCTTTAGACATGGAAAATCGATTTTACAATCGATTCAATGAACACTTATGTCTCAAATCGAACAGGACTTTTTCACAAAAGTGACAGCCCTAGTAACTTGTGATACTGCATGCATTTGTTCAGAATTGCTTTCAATTTTCTGCCAGGATTGCTTGTACAACACCGAATGGTTCTGAAATTTCCTTTATATATCGTCTTGATATATTCATCTTGATTCAGATTTACTAGTACATTTTAAAGGCATCACATTTTTCACGCTTTAACTTTTAAAATCTGGAAATTTGATAGTTTCATAACACTCCCTAATGATGTATGAGGATGCTATAATTGGCATATTTCACATGAAAATTCAAATGATCATTTACAAACAGTGGAGGGGTGTTTAAGATGTTCAGTTGAAGAGCCCCTCTGAATTTCACATGCCTTTTCACTTCACTTGAATTTATTCAGCTGGAAAACACTTGTGATCAAGTCCACTAGTATTTGTCTTATGATATCTCTGCAGCACATGACTGTGCTGATTTGAAGGATTTTTCCCCAAAAAAAATGATCAGCCATTTTTGGGATATCATATAACCAACAAAGAGTGTATTGAGCCAGCACAATGAGGCAGGGTTATCTTCATACAGGCTGTGCTCCTGGCCTATCCTATCTCCTGAAGGGTTCAGAGGTCACTCCACTCTCATGGTTATAAACACTGTGTTGTTGAGGGGAAGGATCATAACTATACTATGTTTTGACCATCTTCACGCTTTAATACGAGTTCATACGCTTTAATAGGCTGGAGCGCAGGCTGTCGTAAGTACTGCTCACGGGATATTTTGGCTTAAACAACCATTTAATAAATGTGGTTATTTTCTATTCTATGCAGATACTTTTTAGTCTGTAGGTTTTCTTCCCTTGAGTTTTATTCGATTTTTTTTTTTCAGTAAGTTAAGCGCAAGCTAAAAAGCTTAACACATCTGTTACAGTAAATTGTTTTTGCAGATATGAAAAAGCAAACTGTTTTTTCAGTGTAACTTTTAATGTACTGTAGCCAACTATTACGGTGATCTTTATGTACTTTCAACCTTGCATTTACTATTTTTGGCAGACTTAACTTCCCTATCGGAAGGAATCATAAGTTTGATAAATGATTATTTGACGGTTAAACACCCTGTTGCATATAAATTTCTTTTAATGTTAGGTATACAGATTTTTTTTCCGTAAAACAATTCACAGTAGGTGTCATATTTCCTTAACATAAATAACCCATGAAAAAAGTTAGATATGAAATAAATTAGTTAGCTGCAAAAGCTGAAGCATGTTGCTGTTTTTGCATATTGTTTTTAACATACAAGATAACTTTTTCAGATTTCTAGAAAATGGAATATTGGCGTAATCTGGTTATAGCAATCAGGTTAATGTGTTTACGCGATGCTTTCATAATCATACTATAACCAAATTATTAATATTAGAGTATTCCTATGCATGTATAGTGCACTCTCTGCTCAGATACATTTGGAGAGATTTGTTTGTGAGATTTGCTAGTGAGCTAAAACTATTAGAGAATAAATGGCAATGCATTTGGAATAAAGTTTTTGGAAATACTTGCACCCATATTCATTTCACAAACAAGTTTCTTATTTGTGGCTCTTATATGCAGATTTAAGAAAAGACTCTTTCTCGTGCTGAGATCTCTTGACTGTTTTGTGTAATAGCAGATTGATCACACTTTTCCCATCCAAGGCTCACAGTAGTTGCTGTAGGGGGACCATTAAAGCTCTTCAGTGCTTTTCCAGCTGGGAATCTATCAGCCCCTGGGGAAAAGGATAGATCTAGATGTCCCCCCTCCATCCTTTTCCATATAATAAGGCTCTCAAGATGAAAAGCTATTTTGAATTTTTTTTGTTTTTTTGTTTTTGTCAAAATTTCTGTTCTATTGCACTTTCACTTTAAAGGGTTAGTTCACCCAAAAATGTAAACCCTTGTGTCATTCCAAACCCGTAAGAACACAAATGTAGATCTTTTTATTGCAAATTTGAGAGCTTTCTGTCCCTCCGTTGAACGCTACGCAACTACCACTTTTACACCAACAAAAAGTTCATAAAGAGATCGAAAAACTAATCCATATGATTTGAGCGGTTTAGTCCAAAATGTTCTGAAAAGACTCGATCGCTTTATAGGATGAACAGATTTAATTTAGTCTTTTATTTATTTATGTTCCGACAATGAACGAAAGTTATGAGATATCACGATAATGAACATGCACAATATTGTTATCGTGGGCACTTCAAAATACTGTGAATAATGATTTATTACGAATTATTCGGATTTTTTGAATGCGTTTTAAGAATACTTTCCCCATCAACTGGTTAAAATGCTCAACACCGCTGTATGCTGAGTCAAAGAGTCACATTTTTGGGTTAACTATCCCTTTAACACTTAATGCACAGATCTATTTTGATTTTTTTTTTACATCGCAATCTCAGATTCAATCCCACATTTTAATATGGTTGGCATTCACGAAACTGCAGTGTGAACTTGTCGGCATGAAAAATAAAACTTTCCCTAAAGTTATGAATGGTTTCAGCGTTTGAAAGCAGCTATAAGCAGATACCAGATTGACCTGATACTCAGTACTACCAGAAAGACTTACTGCTATGTTTTTAAAATTTAAGTATCCACTTGATACCGAAGTACCAGTACTTTTGACAATCCCCTAAATCATACAAGGCATTAATGGAGGTTATGTGCAACAAACTTTCATATTCTGTAAAGCAGGTTGCATCGCTTCCGGTTCAGGTCATTTTTACATGCTACGTTAAATATGGAGCTGTTTAACTCAAGATGCCTAAAAAGAAGCTACCAAAGATGAGCATAATCGATGTCCATAACGTGCATTTAAAAAAAAAAGTAAAAAATTCTTATTGTTGCCATTTTGTTTGATTTGAATATCCAAATGTTTGTGAGAAGAACTAATTATGATAGCTGATTACCTTAAAAGTCCATAGACATCACCACCATCAGTTCATACTGCTGTTAACACTTTCTGTACAATAGGGCTGTTGGAACGAATTCCAAAATTCGAATATAATTCGAATATAAAAAAAAACAATACTATTCGAATTCTGAAGTTACTATTCGAATATTTTTATATATTTTTTTTTTATATGCAATCTTGTCTTTCTCACCACCTTGGCTTACACGCATGTGAAAATGAAATGCTTTTGTTTCGTCTGATAAACAATAAAGTTTTTGAATCGTAACACAATTGTGCACGTTATACACGTTGATCATCATAACAATACTGTCAAAAATGGTAAATGTTTAACGACGTAAAAAAGCGCCCGTGAAGCGCAAATATCTTGGCGAATACTCAACGGATTCGGTTAGCACCAAACTCGCTGGAACCGTCTAGTCGAACTGAAAAGAACGATATAAGTTTCAGAATGTTTGGTGGTGTTTTCGCGGAGATATTAGCCGAAAACCATCGGAAGCGCTTCAACCATATTCAGCGTGAATAAAATGTTTATTGTAATGTTAGATGTCCCTCTAGTGGACAGAACGTGTAACAACAACCACATGCTGTAGTGGCATTGGCGATCCATAAGCCTGAGTAATGTCGTAAATATTAATAATAGGATGAATTTGAGCATTTAATATTCGAATATTATTCGAATATTAAATAAAACAAGGAATGGAATTCGAATAGTATTATAGAGGAAGATTGACAGCCCTACTGTACAAGTGTATGCAATAACGTGTGTGTTATTGTGACGTTCGGCATACAGCCTATTGCGTTTTGTAGAACAACTTACTTGGGTGTATTTCTGGTGTACTGAGTTGTTTGATTTTTATTTCTTCACAGAGGTTTCTAAGCGAGGAGATAATGAGAGTTCACACACATACCAGATTCTGCTTTCTCTGCGTGCTGACCCTGCTGTACCATCAGTGCAGTCACTGCCATGAAGGAGGGTCCCACCATCACCACGGGCACAACCACGGTGACCATGACCATGTCCACAGCGACCTGCAGATTTCAGAATTATCCTGCGATAGCTTATCGGACCGGTTAGTACACGGCAGCAATGGCGAACCTGCAGAGAACGAGCAACGTTACTACATTCACCAGTTGTTCTGTCGGTACGGCCAGAAGGATCGTCTGGATTTTAAAGGCTTCCAGAGTTTGCTGTTGAGTTTAGGGCTGGGCGAGGTGCGGGTGGTTGGGCTGGAGCACGAGGATCTTGGGCACGATCATGTGGCACACTTGGATATTCTCGAGGTTCAGGAAGGACGGCACTCGCATTCGGCCGGTCATCCGCACCCTCACCAGAAGCCCCACATCTCCCACAAGAACCACCACGAGAATGAAGAACACGGCCCTGACGAGGAGCTACCGTGCAGCAAAACAACCGAGAGCACCACTCACAGTGGATCTGAGAAACATAACCATGAGAAAGACAGTGATCATGAACACATCCACAGACTTGTCACGGACAGTCCTCAAACTCAAGATCATGACGATGACCACACACATTCACACACGCACAGTCAACAACAACTGGAACATGATCATGACCAAAAGAGCAGTGAACATACACAAGAAAACAATGATCTCAGTGACCAAAGCCACAATCATCATGACCACAAGCACCCCCACCCTCATCTCCATGGTCCAGACAGTGTGGAGCACACCTCAGCAACGCCTCAGCTCACACCCCGAATCCAGCCTTCTGCACCCACTGAGCTCCCCACCACACAACCCAGAAGAAACAGGAGACCACCTAAAGTCAGAGCCCATCAAGGCCCTAACAAGACCAGCATCACTGTTACTCAGGCCGTGGAGCTGGAGACCATCAGAGATGACCAGGATCACAGCCCAATTCAGCCGCAGAGGGGCAGGAGAGAGGTGCCAGGAGAAGATCTGTCTGTCAAATCACATGCACACGGTGCTTTTCACCAACATGAGGAGGTACATCTCAGCGTCTGTCTTACCGTATGCTTGTTTATAAATGGTAGTCCTTCAGATGTGCCTCAAGAGCTTGATCAGGGATTGGTTATTAGTTTTTTAGGGTAGTTCAAATTCAGCGTGACATGTTGCAGAAGATAGTTACAGTTGGACGACTTCAAGCTAGGCTTATAAATTATTATGCATTATTCAGTTTATTTTTGTGAGGATTATGACAGATTTGTGGAATTAACAGTGGTGGACACTAGTAATAAAGTATTTTTTACGTTTAACGTTAAAATAATGCAAATTAATGTCCAAGCACTACTTTAGCATTTTGTTTTTAGCACACTTTTTTTGTTTCATTGTTAAATACTATATGGTATATATTGTTATTTTCACTTGTTTGCTCGCTTTAAATATCAGTAATTTGATTGATTTATTTCAGAATATTGAAGTTTAATGTTTTGATAGAGTAGGTTTTGGTAATAAAATAGTTTTTGCTCTTATTTGCAGATCAGTGTATATATTTAATGTCTTCATTCATCTTTCTTATTATAGGATGACATAAAATTGAAAAATAAACACATGTGGTTCATTTAATACTATAGTACTTTAATACTTAGTACTAACATTTTTATTAGGGTGTCTGTACATTTACTCAAATGCTTGATTTGTGTACTTTGTTCACCATTGGAAATAAAAAGTTATTTAGCATAATTAGGATTTGATTCTAAACTGGTCTAAATACACAGTGCTTCCTTAACACAGATTAGTCTATTAACTAGTGGATTTCGAGAAAGTAATCTTGTACACCCCTGGTACTAATATTTGATATGTGATTTGTATTCCTTGTATTTGTTGAGAAATTAGTCGTGTATAAATGCAAAGTAAAAATCTCCTTCTCTCACTTTCCGTCAGTGCCTGAATTTAACGGAGCTGCTACACCAGTATGGACTGAGCTCAGATTCTCTCATATCTCCAGTGCAGTTCACCTATTTATGTCCAGCACTGCTCTACCAGATAGACAGACGCTTCTGCATCCTTCATTATCACCACGTTGAGTCTGAGCCACAAGATGCAACATCTGCAGGTAAAAGTGATCCTGTACTAGTATGATTTTGTATCGACAAAGTATATGCACTCATCTACAGTTCTCTCTATACCGGTTTAGTTTGCTAGCTAATAAAGAGAGTGAACAGACTTAGTAAATGGTAAAGCTTTGTAAAGTTTATCAACCAGTTGAGAACCAATGCTAAACCATATTAAAACTGTTCTCTAATGTTTGCATTAGACATGTCCTACCTTATGCTGATTTCAGAATACACAATATCAATCATTTCAGCTCGTATAGTGTGTCATAGACTAGCATGTTTTATTTTTTTTGGTCCTCCACGACGGATTCCATCTCATCTGTGTCGTTGACCAATAGGTGCACCGAAGGTCTACCGTACACCGCTTTCAAACAGGGTGAAATGAAAAAGAGCTTATTGTATTGGTGCTGCTAGGTGGAATTATGCAATGAAGGAAAGGTTTGTGGAGCTATGGCAACAATACTACTTTAGGAGTCAAAATCGCATAATCTGACGCAGTGACTATAGTAACAGACATTAATATTGTGTAATCTGAACAATAGCATTAGTTGACAATCCGGCATTAGTTGAAACTCTATAGGGCTTTTCACACTTGAAATAGTTATCCCAGGTCATTCTAAACCCTGGGTAAACGGATTCCTGGGTTATCTTTATTCACGTTTCACACTGCTCATACAATACCTGGGGTAAACAGTTAATCCTGGGTATTCATAAACTGCCATTTCACACTGCACAATCCTAAACCCCAGGTTAAAGTCCTTATTTGCATATTTGTAGTGTCAGTGTTACTGACTGGACAAGCGCAGCACGTGACATGCACAGCACTGTTTACATAAAGGCTCTAGCATTGCGCATCCTCATATTACACATTGCTGACTGTGATATCAAGTTTTTTCTGAGTGAACTATAAAAGTAAGAATGAAACTGTCTCTTCTTCACTCCAATTGACACGGTTTCCATCGCCGTTTGACATTTTTCCTATATATGCAGAAACAACTGTTTATATACATCACGCGGTGTTTCCGTGACTGCCCAAAGCGAGTGAATATAAGGCAATATATGGTTGTCGGTGTGTGAAACGCTCCTTTACCCGGTGTTAAAAGTGGTGTTTAGAACGACGATAACCCGGGGTTAAGTGCAGTGTGAAAATCCCTTATGCGTCCAGTGATCGCAGTCTTACCCACTGCTGCTGATTATGTTTCTGCAGTGTGGGTCTGGATGTGGGGCTTTGTGTCTATCACCATCATCAGTCTGCTTTCTCTGCTGGGTGTTATTCTGGTGCCCATTCTCAACCAGTCCTGCTTCAAGTTTCTCTTGACCTTCCTGGTGGCACTGGCGGTGGGAACCCTCAGTGGTGATGCCTTACTGCATCTACTCCCTCATGTAAGATCATTTTTTGGGACAAACATAGATTTAACCATTGCAAAGGTTCAAACAGTCAAACTTTTCATCTGTTTCCCTATATTTTGCAGTCTCAAGGGGGCCATAATCACAGTTTTGAAGGACAGACGGAGGAAGAACCTGTAGAGGATTATCTGACAAAGTTTGACGGAGTTTGGAAAGGACTGACTGCATTAGCAGGAATCTACCTCCTCTTCATTATTGAACATTGCATTGGCATGTTCAAACACTACAGCGACCAAAGGGTATGAGACACCACAATACCTTCGAGTTTAAACACACAAAAGATATGTTAGAAATCTTGCAAAAAGGGCAAGAAAACATTCACACATGGTTGTTTAAGAATGACAGAGTTGAGGCAGACTAAAATAAAATCCATAATTGCTGCAGATAGTGGGGCACAGCGAAACAACCTTCTCAGAACCTAGTGCGTATAAACACTTATCTGTTCATGCTTTCCACAGGGAGGCCTCTGCCAGAGAAAGAAAAAGGGAGAGCAGGCAGAGATCGGGAGGAAATTGTCAGACCACAAACTCAACAGGCGTTCAGATGCTGAGTGGCTCCATCTGAAGCCTCTAACAGAAGGTGGGTTGTTCATTTCTTCTTTAAATCCCAACACATTTTTTTTGGCTTTTAATTAAAGTTGTATGTGTTGATATCTTGAAGATCCTTTAGAGTCTCCTCCTATATACTGATCTTATAAGAATGAACTCAAGCTGTGTAACACACCAAGCTTAGTGCAGTAACATTTAAGAGGTAACTCCGCATTTGAGTCGAGAGCAGCTCATTGAAGTCTGAGTCCTGGCCGAGAGTTGAGTAGGTTGAGTCTCAGTCTGAACCATTCAGACAGCATAAATATACTTTCCTTTGGATTGAATAAAACATGTTTTTGCATCAGTGTTATCATCCTCCAGTCCAGAGACACTATAGCACAGAGCGGATCATTTGCATGAGTCGGCGCAGACCACAAAAGTAACTCCTCCTTCGCTTCTTTTTTCATGCAGGAGAAGGTACGACTTGTGAAGCCGGACACAATGACACTCAGATGACGGAGTTGCAGTCTCTGGATTCACCCAGCAAGATGCCGCTAGCCATCTCTGTTTCAGAACACCCCTATAAGGAAGCTGTAAAAACAGAAGAGGACAGTGGGCCAAAGGCCAAGTCAAAAAAGCATGGACATGGACATGGACATGGTCACTCCCACCATGGGCACTGTCACTCTGACCAGGAAATGAAAGATGCAGGGATTGCCAGCATAGCATGGATGGTCATTATGGGAGATGGCATGCATAACTTTAGTGATGGACTCGCTATAGGTCAGTTTGTGTACATTGAAACTAGTAGCATATTCATTTGTCTTTAATCAAAAGGGTTTCTGTATCTGAGGAACTGTGTTTGTAACATACAGGTGCTGCTTTCAGTGCTAATATTACGGGTGGCATTAGTACTTCAGTAGCTGTGTTCTGTCACGAACTGCCCCATGAACTAGGTAAGTGGCTTAATCAAGAGACAACATATTAGAATAGCAGATCCATTTTCTTTCATTTGAGCTCTAGGTGCGCAGTAAAATGTTTAGTGTCCACATCAAACATTAACATTCTGTTTATTATGAGCTTGTGCTGAAGTTATGATGTCTTCTGCTATTTTAAATGATCAAGCTTAAAGTTTAGTGGATTCTCATTTTCTGAAAGGGATTCCAACAATATTGTTCCTTTGTGCTGTTAATGTTATAGCTGTGGTGTGCCCATTCTAATAAAATTAGAATGATTATTATAACTTTATAGTTATAGTCCTTGGTGTGAACAGGCCATAACCCTGAAAAAAAAAAGACATCACCATGTCAATGAGTAGGGCTGGGGTAAACGATTATTAATTAAACGATTAGTCTGTCGATTATTTTATCGATTAGTCGACTAATCTAACGACTAAGTGAACAATTGTTTTTTTGTAACATGGAAATTGCAGGAGTGCACATTCAATGCACAACAATTTTGATCTGGTTCTTACAGAGTATCTACACTGTAAAATGTTTGGTAGGCTACTCAAATGAGCCCTATCACACTTGGATGTGGTGCTCATTTTAATGTTTTCAGTGCTCATAAAAAACATCCGGACTGATTTTTCGGTTTTGTTGACGGGGGTGGGGTTTACATGCGCTTCATAAGGCACACACGCACACTTGCACACACACGCAAGGTCTCTCGCTCTCTCCCTCGCTGCCGCGCGCTACACGGTTTGGAGCTCGCAAGCTCTAGATTCCGGGAGATTTTAACAAATTTGCGGGCATCAGGGAGCCGCTATTAATATGCGGGAGACTTGGGATGTCAACTCCATTTGACAAAGAGCGCAAATAACGACACCTTTACGTTTGGGACTAAATTTGAAGTATTCCCATACCTTCGATGATTTAGTACGAGCTGGGTTTTTTTTTAGGACTTTTTCTTTTGTTGGGACATTTGCATGGCTTTGTTGTGAATTCTGTGAAGAAGAGGTTGCTGTTTCGTTCTCGATTCTGCAATGTTTCGGTCTCCCACGTGTGTGTGGCGAGCTGTACTGCCGGGAACGGTGCAAAAAAATAAATACATAAATAAATAAAGAAGCGTCGACAAAAAAATATGACGTAGACGAAATTTTGACGTCGACGTCATCGACGCGCCGCTACAGGCCTATCAATGAGTGAGGTTAGGTTTAGCTTTAGGGTGATGTGGCGATCCTGGTGCAAGCCTTGAGTTTTTATTGCCAATGAGGTGTCCTTTATCCATTTTTGATTGACACAAACTCAGGAACATCAAGGCAAAGAGCCCCAGCTGTTTTTCTGTGCTCTCTTTTTCATGTTTGAATGAATCAAAAACACTGGACTAAAACAACACTGCAGCACATATGGGTTTTAAAAGACTGCAAAGCTTTTATGAAGTTTGAGGTAGCTGTCTAGAGGGCCACTCTTTTTAAAATTCCCCTTTTTTTGTTTAAACTGAACCAGACATTACAATAGCACAGAAGTAACAAACAGTATGTCTTTGATGTATTAATTATGTTTTGTATTTGATGTTTACATTTACTGTTTGCCATCTAGTGGAGGTGATGGAACTCTTAACAATCGTTTTTTTTTACTGAGAATCTAGACTCCCCATATTGTGGCTTAAGAAACACTGCTATAATAAAAGGTTTCTTACCACCCTGAAGTGCTTTTAATGGCTTTTGACTGATTTAATTGGGCCAGGTGACACAGACCAAAAGTCCAGAGTGTAGTTTAGAGAGGACCGATGGATGTGAAGGCTCCTCGCATATATTTTCAGTAATTAGGAGGAAATGAGTGGCAGCAGGAAAGTCCTCCTAGTTTTTTTTTCTGAGAGATTAAGAAGGCCAGCCCGTTCTCACAGCAGTTATTGTCAGGTTTAGCATGGGCTAACTATACGCACAGTACTGTACTGTTGTTTATTGTACATTAATAGTGCACATTTGTGTTTTTTCTTTCAGGTGACTTTGCGGTTTTATTGAAGGCTGGGATGTCAGTGAAGCAAGCCATTGTGTACAACGTCCTCTCTGCCCTGATGGCTTACGCTGGCATGGTGATCGGCACGGCCGTGGGACAGTACACACACAACGTCACCAGCTGGATCTTTGCTGTCACTGCTGGCATGTTTCTCTATGTGGCATTAGTGGATATGGTAAGAGAACCAAAATGCAGATGATCTTAGCTTGCCAGCTACGGTGCGATCTTGCACATCCCTTGCACAACCCGACAACCACTTCTGAATTAATATGTGGCGGTCAACTTCATACTGGGCTTTTTAGCAGCAGTTCTTATACTTACTAAGGCTGCATTTATTTAATCAAAAATACAGTAAAAACAGTAAATTGTAAAATTTATTACAATTTAAAATAACTTTTCAGTTTTAATATATTTTAAAATGCAAGTTATTCCTGTAATGGAAAAGCTGAGTTTTTAGCATCAATTACTCCAGTCTTCAGTGTCACCTAATATGGTGATTTGCTATTATTTATTTATCAATTTTTAAATCGTTTTTAGGATTCTTTGATGAATAAAGTTAAAATAACGTTTATTTGAAATAGAACTCTTGCAACAATGTACAAGTATTTACTGTCACTTTTGATCAATTTAAAGCTGCAGTAGGGAGTTTTGAGAAAACATTGACTTAGCCTGAAAATTTGAACAAGCACAACTTCCAGGTCCCGCCCCCTTGCTCTCTGCTGCGCTACAGCCCTCCCTCCACAGCTCGTCCTCCACAGCAGAGCCTGTCGTGAACGCGCAGGCTAGTAAACAGGGCCACCGATGACGGCGGATAAACAGTTATGGCACATTCACTAGTAGGGACGAAACATCAACAATATGCTTTACATTGACTAAGGCCTGCCCATACTTTGACTACAAACTTGGTCCTCAAATCATTACGTATTTTGCAATACATGTAATGTAACTTTATAACGTTGCACCCTTTCTATAAGTTATAAATAGCTAGTAAGATAATATAACGGTAACTAACGTAACAGTATGCAAGTAATTATTCTAGCGATATGTAGGCCTAATGCTAGATAAGGTTTGCTAGTACATTATTTCAGCAACATGACAAGCCAGTGAATTAGCAGGTTTCAATTGTTGCTTTGCACAGTGCGTGACATTTTATCTACATGTTACGCGGCTAGAGTTTTGACACCGAGTCAATGGGCTCTGTCTAATTATTTCTTTTTCGCTTGTTTATCGTCATCTGTCTTTTTCCTTTTACCCATCTTTGTTTTATGAGCAGGTGCCACTCGAGAAATTGGCAGTTTAGGTTGTTTCTCCGTCATAAGCACAGCTGCAGCTCGCCGGCAATCTTGAGTTTGAACGACGGCTCGCGCTGTGCAAGAGAGGGGTGTGATCAGCGCGTATACGGGCGTGATTGACACTGCTAAGACATTCCTCCTGGCTCTGATTGGTTGTTTCTGACCGGGAGCGGCGTATTTCTGCAAATGGCAGTAGGACCACTGGGAGGAGCCAGATGAGCTTGATTTTTTTTCACAGATTATCTGTCTCATATTCTACTGTCAGGACATAATGACAGTTTTAACAAATATGTAAAAAATATTTTTTTTACAAAAGTTACCTACAGCAGCTTTAATGCATAAAAAAAGAAACTCACAATTAGTTAATATATAGCCATATACACTACCGTTCAAAAGTTTGGGGTCGGTATTAAATATAATATAATATAATAGTATTAAATATTATTCCAGTGTAAATCAGCTGTTTTCTGTGTGAATATATAGTAAAGTCGTGTAATTTATTCCTGTGATCAAAGCTGAATTTTCAGCATCACCAGTGTCAGTGTCTTCAGTGTCAAATGATCCTTCACAAATCAGTATAATATGAGGATTTGATGCTCAAGAAACATTTATCATTATTATCAATGTTGAAACAGTTGTTGGTCTGTCAGTTGTACAGTTTTTTTTTTTTTTTTTTTTTGGATTCTTTGATGAATAGGAAGTTCAAAAGACTTTTGTAACATTATAAATGTCTTTACTGTCACTTTCGATCAAATTAATTATTCCTTGATAAATAAAAGTATTGATTTCTTTCCTCCAAAAAATAAAAATAAAATTCTCACTGACCCCAAACTTTTGAACGGTAGTGTATATAAACATTATAGTAACCTGTGTAATATAAACTTGTAATATGGTATCGGTATTTTTCTGTTAAGATATGCAGCATACCTCGGTTTTTGTTATGTCCTGTAAATGTAATTGTTCTGAGTTACCTGTGTTAGAATGTTATCTTCTATCTAACAATATAAATTTGTCTTCATCTTCAGTTGCCAGAGATGCTTCATGGTGACAGCGAAGAACACAAACGCTGTGAGATGGGTCACTTCGTCCTGCAGAACTTGGGCATGCTCACGGGATTCGGCCTCATGCTGCTGATCGCCATCTTCGAGGATCACATTGTGATTGATTTTGGCTTCTAGCTGGAGGCGTCATTCAGCTACATTCACACTCGTGCTTTGCCCTAAAGTGGCTTTGTTTTGTGATGGTACAGTCTTGCAAGCATGTCTCAGAAGATCACATCAGTAGCTTACAGTGGACATGGACATGCACACAAACATGTTTACGTTTCATCTTCTCTCATCTCCTCCTCTCTAGGCCACTCAAAAAGTTTACTTGTCATTTTCAAGCTCTTTTGTAGATGTAGCTTCTGGACTGTTCTCTTCTGTCGTTATTGTTTTTTTTTGGAGTATGTATGTCCAGTCAGACATATGCACAGCACACAAGAAACACTCCCCATTATTTGGGTTATCCCTTTAATACTTGAGTGTTTTTTAGGACTGTGTCCTAGAGAGAAGCAGCTATTCATCTGTCACCCATTTAGTGTCATGTTTAGCTCTTTCATTCATATGTATTGTAACTCATAGTCCATTCATTTGTAACTGGCGTGTTGTGCTGTGTATGTCGTGTGTCACATCGCCGTGTCAGGCGCTAAAATGGTGCAACAGAGCCCAACTGGCATCAACTCTGCATATTCTTTTAATTTATTGAAAAGTACTGGTCAGTATTGTGTGCCAGGATCATGTGATTCTCTTTAAAGAGCTCCTTTCTTTACTGGTTTACACTTTGCTGTCAGCATTGACTACTTGTTTGTTTCTTACACTATATTTGCTGTTCATGGTGATGGAGTGTCCTCAGTCTTAGAATTTCAATTGTTTGATTTTTTTTTTTTGTCATTATTGGCTAAGATTGTACTAATGTTTTGGCCAATTTTGAGTATTTGAAGAAAAAGGTATGCAACAGTGTTATGAATAACCTGTGACGCAGTGCTGCCGAAACACCGATCGCATTCAGAAGGTCAGATGAATAGTGACTGAACAAGTCCAGTATTAAAGCTAATGCTAAATCACTGTGATTTTAAATGAAGAACAATTAGCTGAGCATATCTGTACATCAAGGAATACATTATTTTTCTTTGGGGAGTCTATTTGTTCATTGATACATTTTATCATGATCTAGACTACTTTCTGAATATAAATCCAAGTTGATTTTCATATCCAAGTGTTGTAAATAATGATCTTGTTACAGTTGAAGTTCATAAAATAATTATGTTCCCCAAAGGAGATTTGCTACTGAAGACTAATTTTTGTTAAACATGCTTGCATTTTGTTACTTTTTTTATTTTAGCTATAGGACATGTTTGGTATTTCTGGATAGTTTGCGCAAAATTCAGAATATTTTGAGAAATCGGTACCTTTTATTCACTGACCATCTAAACTTACTTTGCATACAAAGTTTGGGTGAACCATTCCTTTTTTTAACCTAAAAATTAAGAAATATTTGTTTGTTTTTTTGACAATCTTAAACGCTTGTTGTTGACCCTCCCATTATTGAAATGAATGCACACATTTCAATTATTGGCCTTATGTGAACCTGTATAAAAGCCTGACTACAATCAAATTTATAGAGCATCTGTTAATCTGCCCCCCTGTTGATGTGATTCTTGTTTAAGGATTGTGCCAAATATGGGCTGTTTCTGAATTTGCGCACAAGCGCTGCCTGTGCCTGCAGTCGCCTCTACACATTCCACTTGCTGTGTTCGCTGCTTGAATCCTCTGTCGTCATGAGTTGGTGGGGCATGTTATGTGATTCATGCTTATCCTGTCACCATGTGACATCCATTTATTTGTTGTCGTGGGTGTGTATCATTATTAATTGCATTCATCAAATGTACTTGATTGGATGGAAACATGCATGAAGCAAACTGTCTAGTTGTTTCATTTCAAATGAAGAGATGAGAACACTGTTGATTTTCACCTTCCCTGAAGTACTTAATTTTTACAGCTTGAATGTAAAGCCAATTAATTTGGGGGTCATGTGAGCAAACCTAATCACAGTCTTCAGAGATTAGGTCTAAATCCTGTGTATGTGTCTTTGAAATGAAGTTGTCACAGCTCTAAAGTTCAAATGAAACACCTTGGTTATGTGGTGCAAAGAAATAAACTCAATAAATAAAAATGATGCACACCAATTTTCTTCATGCTTTAGATTGTATTTCAAAAGGACCATCCAGATATTTACTTACATTTTAGTTTGTCAGTTTTGGCAGAACTTTTTTTTTTTTTTTTTAATTAGTTGATTACACAGCTTGGATGTTAAAGTGTTTTCAATACATTTGCCATTCTTGCTGATTGTCTGTGCATTTCTTTGTCAGAAGTGGAAAATAAAGTTTGCAAAGCCTACTTTGAGTTTCAGCTTATAAAAAATCTCTTATTAAAATGCTCCACTCTATGAAAATATATTTTTAAAAGCTTATTTTATCTACTAAATGTATCTACTAAAAATCTATAAATCTATTATTATTGCTATTGATCATCTTTTAAATGTTGACTTTAGAGATAGGAAGAGTTTTATTTAGGTGTTTGTTAAATGGTAGAATTAGTTTTTTTACTGAACTCATATTTAATGGTATATCTAAATAAACATTAGCCACGGATAGTTCTCTAAAGATTCAAGTGAAGGATACTAGAAGCAGAGCAGAATATCTACGAGTTAAGCTGACACAGTAAGGCCACTCCACGTCGGATCCAGTGCTCTGGAGGCACGTCTGAATTCAGGCTCATTGCAATGACGTAGTTGGTGGAGTGTCCAGTGGTGGAAAGGGTTCCGCGTCTCTCACTGGTCTTGTAGACAGGAGAAATGTAGCACAGGCGCTCTGGAACATCCTGCTTCTTCATGGGCTTCAGCCAGATCTGCAGACAGACAGGATGATGTGTAGTTGAGAAACAGTTTCATTGCTCTTCCTCGCTTCCTACAATCTGCTTTGATTACTATGGAAATACGAAATTACAGTGTAATGGGATGTGGTTGGTTATTTCATCATTTCGAACAGAATGAAAGGAGTGGGGTTTTTGTTCAACTCCGTAAAAAAGAAAAAAAAAGTAATTCACTAAAAATATGGTGGTGAGTCAACATTAAATTTTCCCTTGTTGATAATCTAACCCATTTTCCTAGGCTTGGTATCCAAGATAACTGTAAAACAAAGAAAGCTGTCACTAAAAACGAATTCAAATCCTTTATCAGAAACTCTTAATATACCTCAGAAACAAAGGGGTACATTAAAAGTTGGCGGTTATATATATATATATATATATATATATACATGCAACTTGTGGGTGTATTTATGCTCAGTGTTTCAATGAAATATTTTCAGCTGAAATTAATAATGGCCTTCAAAGGAAATTTGCATTTCAAAGTTTTACTGTAAGTAACAAATGCATGTTTAATTAAGTTTAGCTCTAGTCAAAAAATTATTTTGGTAATGAGTTTTCCTGAAATGTCTGAATATTAAACAGGCAGTGAATGCATTATTTATTGTGGCAATGTCCATTGTGGAGAATAAAAAGGACAAAACTAACAGAAGTCTTTTTCTCTTCCCGTTCCGTTACATTTAACAAACTATTTGAATATATCACCTGTCGTATATAGACAGTTAGAATTCCCTTCTCGTACTGTATTTAAATATAAAAATAACATTTTTAATGTTGAGATTTTCTTAAACTTTCTTCAGAGGCCCCAAGATGATATGTTTGAATGAAATGGTGATGAAAAGAGCCATCTTCAAGGAAATCTGAGAAACGGGGTGTCTGTGCAGACCCTCTGCTGGATATAAGGCTGCCGAAGTTCCGATTTTCCTTCAAGTGCATTATGCATGTGTTTTTATTTGGCACTGAAGAGATTTATTTGGCTGTGCTGAGATTGAAGTCAACATATTTACTTTCTTAATACATTATCAATAATAATAAAAAACATTTCCTTGTTGAATATTCGGTTTCACTCTGAAATATGTAACATTATGGTCAATTTGGGAATGCTGTTTCATGTAGACTTTAAATGCTTCCAGTGGATTCAACAGAAGAAATGCATTTTATTTGTGGATTAACTTTTTCACACATGGAACCTAATAGCAACCAACCATTTCATGCTTTTATAACTGGACTAATCTGAAGACCGAAGAACCTGAAAGTCTGCGCATATGATTTAGCCGCTCTGTGCAGGAAATTATTTTTTAGCATTATGTCCCTTGGTTCACATTTTTTTTGTGGAAAAAAAAAAGAAGGTATTTTTCTCTCATGATTGCTTCTTGTTTCCATAGTTACTGTTATAGTTTGCCTGCAAGCAAACATTTTTTGAATTGCATTGAAACTTTTGAATTGCACTCAAACAAGTTTTTGCAAGTTTAATACATTTTCCATCATTACAGTGGAATGACTTTCTTGTGACTTGAATCTCTGTTTGAAATATCTACCCACATCAGAGGATATGCATGATATCATCAGCCTTATTTGAATGAGATTAGACATTTTACAGTCTCTCACCACAGGCATGGCGTCATGCAGTATTTTGGGGAAAGACTCTGCCAAGCGTTTTTTTCTCTGATCCCAGCGGGCACCATCTAAGAAAAGGCCACGGATGTAAACACCTGACAAAAGGACAAATACAAAAAGTACAGAGGATTAATTATTAGAAAAAGTATGGGTACTATATGAGAAGTCACAGTATCTAGCCAAAAATAGATCATGAGATACACATTTAAGTAAAATAAAAGTAAACTTTTTTTCAACAGGTATATCAGGCTGCTGTCATTTTAAGACCTGACGCATGGATCCATTATACTGTAACACAGGCGTTTTCTTTCTCAACGGTTTACGTTCACTTAAAACATAACCGACTGTGTGTTTATGTGAATATTCGCCAAGACTGGCATTTTTACATTATTTTATGTGTATTTGACTGTTTAAGTGCAATAAGCAGCGAAAAAGAACTCAATTTAGTACTGAGAGGCAGCTTTATGTGCGCACACTTTGGGTGTTAATTTGCATAAAATTATGCACAATACGCGCAATACCACGGCAAAATTCAAGCCCTGAGCTCATAAAGATTTAAAACAAGCAGACATGCAGAAATATACTTTAAGTATAATTTTTGCATTGAAAATGTAAGAGTATCCAGTTAAAACTTCTTGAAATAATTAAGTACTTTACACCCCTGCACACATGCGCGCTAACTAAAAACTCTCCCCATTTTATACACTGATTGAACTATAAAAAATGAAGTAGACACAACAAAGTATCTGTTGAAGTCAAACGCACACATAACCGGCCTCATGCAGTGTGTGATGGCCTCAGAGAGATGGGTTTCCTCTGGAGAGATGCTCATCATGTACTGATGAAAGAGCAGCAGGGGTCTGATGTCAGAGCACTGTAATGTTGACTCTGATTGATGGCACTCAGCCGCAGTGAGGGGTTAATGAAACTGTGCGTCTCTCTTTCCTTTTGTCACTTGTAACCCATTTCCCTTTCATATATTTTACATTTCATGCTTGTCAATACTCTTTTTCTTTTCCTTCTCTCTCTTTATCTTTCTCACCATCCTCTGGGGGGCTTTTGTATTCCTTGTCCTCCATGACTTCAAAGTCGAAGCTGAGCAGGTCAATGGGGGTGGTGTATTTTCGGGCGAAATTCTGCTGGCTTCCAGTGAGGAAGGCCTGAGTGAAAAAGAAGCCGGACATCCAGAACACTGCAGGTGTG